AAAGGATTTGGAAAGACTGCTCTAATACCTCCTAAAAGGTCTTGTTCAAGAAGCAAGTGCCTTCCGTAGATCAGGCTTTCTGGTTATCTTTTGTGATACACTACAGGGTCTCTCATGTGAGTACCTGCCCAAAGTGGAAAACAGTTGGATGGAAAGTTATCAGCCAGCTTTGCCCTAATCTTCTCTTAGACAAACTAAGTAGACTGAGCACCTTTACTCTCTTATTTTAATGCTCTGAATCATTCGTGTAACTTTTTTTGCCATGTTTACATTTTTCATTCTTGTCTTAAAAATAGACAAGCAGACAAAACTATTTCAATAAGAATTCCAGTAATTCCACACACACAAAGGTGCCTGCCTATGAGTACATCCTGCCAATATGTCTGAAGATTGCCTTTGCCCACATAGTAGAAATGGTCTGGGCTATGTGTAGCTTATGGCCTGGTGGTTAGAACACTTTGCTGGGTGAACCTGGGTCATCTTCTCCCTGGGCAAGTGCCCCAAACAATAGGTTATTGGGTTAAAGGGTAGGAGGGCCCTCTTCCATTTTACTTCCCTCGGGTATGTTCACAGGGCCATCCTATGCTGGAAATAAAATCTAAATTGTGCATTAGTTTTGTAGCTAAATACCACTTAAGCACATGTAGGTAAAATAGGATTTAGCCCCAAGTATTCTAGGGTAAGTCTATATAAAATAAGTCTATTTTTTTACTTTAGTTAGAGTAGTTATTTATTATATTATTGTTGCTGGTAAAATTTGAAAGTGATGTTCTGATTTTATAATTCCCACCATGTTCTTCTTGATGAAAAGAAGTAGCACAGAGCTGAGAACAGATTAAAGCAAGGCCTACAAACATCCATGATAGATGATCGTTCCCCATTTACAATTAGTGTTTATGATCTATCACTTAACCAGTTTTTGATATATTTAAATACAAACTTCATTGATTTTGAAATAGGGCTACTTTTTAGCACAATGTCATGAAAAGTCCAGGGATATGTCAGATACAAAATCTGGGTATGTTAGCACAGTTAATTTAACAAAACTTGTGATCTTGTGGAAAAAAATGACCAGATTGTTTGACAATGCATACTCCAGAAAGCAATTCTGGTTGACATTCATTATGCTATGATCTTTTAAATCTTTACTAATTACAACATATCAAAATCTTTCCATAATTTTTCCCTGGCTTGATGATAGCCAACCTGCAGTTTCCCAGGTCATCCTGTTTACTTTGTTTGAAATTGGATACAATATTAGGAAGTAGTGTAACTAGGTGTGGGTGAGAGGGGCACCCACCCTGAGTGCCAAGTTTGGAGGGGCACCAGAATCACCCCTAACCCCCCAGGCATCTGTGTCCTGGCAGTAAGAGCAGGCTTATGGTTTACCCATAGGGGGAACTTCAAAATGGTACCTGGTTGATGCTGCTGCTGCTTTAAGAGCAAGGGCTGAGGTGACAGAGCATGCAGCAGTAGCCACAGGAGCTCAGCTGGGGGCTGTTTAGGAGTTCCTGACATGGGGACCTGCTGTACAACCCCTGCCTCTGCTTTCCCTTACGGTTTGCCCAAGGCTGCAACCCTGCTTGTTAAGCCTCCAATATTAGCTCTTCTGTAGTCCTCTGGACCTCCAGGTGTTCTAGGATTTATTAAAAATCATCATTAATAAGAATTCTTCCTTTGATGAGCTTTGGTGTTTTCATTAGTACATTTAGCTTCCCTTTTCACTTTTCTGCACATCCTATCTGTTGATTTGGACTCACTGTTACTGGTTACCTGCGAGGTAGTTTCAGCTGGTCATGGTTGAAACCTGGAGATAAATGCTCTAATGTGCCTTCTGAGAACACAAGTGTGTAGGACAGTTTCACCTGCCTTTTAAGCCTCCATTTCTGGGAGACTATGCAGAGTTCAACTGTGAAGAGCTGCAGCAAGCTCGCATGCTCCTGCCACAGCCGATTCCTGATTTGGCTCTGCAGGATGTGCATGGCACAGATCAACCGGGCTTAGGTGCTGGTGGCAGTTGCTAACATATCAATCAATTATTTGATTGATTGATTAATTGTAATATTATAATATGCCTAATACATTTAAATATGTTTTGAGTGGGATGCTGGTACACTTTGAGAATTTATAGATTGATTCCTTGAATTTAAAATTGTTGAGAACTTGCTTGAGATTTAACATATCCTGCATGTCAACTGCCCTTCCCACAGTCCTTCTGCTCTTTCTTCCTTAAGTGAAGGGTAAAATCAGTAATTTTTTTACATTTTAGTAATGTGAATCATACTATTGTGTTTGAGTAATGTGAGCTACCTCAAATATATTTTCATAAATTAGTATGCCTAATTGCCTTTGCACCAAAGCTTCTAATGCTGGTAAATAGGAAACTGAAGACTTTTTTTCCTGTTCCATCCCTGAATAATCATATCATCATAGAAAAATGTCTAGAAGGGACCACAAGAGGTCATCTAGTTGACCCAGTGCTCTAGGCAGGATCATCCCTGCATAAACCCTGACTCAGTTCTTCACAATCAAGCTACTTTGAGCCTGGATTTTACATATAAGCATATGCATTGGGTTTATACCCCTTACACTTTGCTGGGAAATCCTTAGTTTAAAGACCGTTTGGCAACTCAAGGCGATTGGTTTCCCTTTCAGTAAGATGGAGGTGGTCCAAAATATATGCATTCTCCTCTCCCCATAGAAAGTGTCTCAATGCTCCATAAAACTAAAACTTAAACTATGCTTTTCCTTTAGTGTTTTACAATATCTTCTCTCATGCATGGAACAGAGATACTGTATAACAAACTGGTCCTTTCTTCTCCTTCAGCTTCATTCTGAAGGTGTTTGATCTGTAAAATGCCTTGTGACGTAGTCATTCATGGCAATGGATACCTTACAGTCCTTGGGATCCTTGTTCCACTTTATCTCTTGCTTCAAGACTTCACCGTCTTTATTGACAGGGGATAAATGTTACCACTTCATGGGAAGTTAGTTGTATGCTTTTTCCATGGGATGTTGAAAGAAACAACATGCAAGGACCTATGGTCCTGAGTTTTTCTCTGGATCCTCTGGCCATGTCTACATGAGACACTTACTGCAGTTGCCTAATTAGCTCTTCAGTAAACTTTACCATCCACACATGTGGTGCTATTAGGAAGCAGTAAACTAACTCTGCTGTAGGATAGTACTGCCAAACACAAGTACTATCCTACAACGGAGTTATTTACCCTACTGCAATCGATGTGTAGATACTGATGAGGCTGACTGGGGCATGAGGATGCAGCTCTAATGTATTAGCTTATATTAGCTAACTGAACGTAATAGTTATACAAATAAAAATCAACACTAGCAAAATCCCAAATAGGAAGGCACCATGTAACTGAAACAGATCAGAACTTCTCAAATAAAATAAAAAATAGGAAGAACTGATTTTAAAATTGCAGTGGAGCAGAGAAAAGATCAAAATTGATCTCTCAGCCCATTCAGCCATGCAAGGCCTAGATTGCTGCATGGGTAATGAAGCGGTAATGAAGCGGTCTCTTTTATTTGTATACTGTACCTGTTTATATTAAGAGCTCTCTCCCTCTGTTTGTATACAGCATTTAGAACAAGGAGACCCTCAAACTTCACTGAAGTTTTTGGGTGCTATTGTATGTAAATAATGGTCTCTATCTCCCACGTGGTAGAATATGTCAAGGCTTTCCAGGTCAGCTTCTCACTGAAGGAGAAAGAATTGAGACAGACTGGGGATGTCTACATGTGCTGTTAATGTGCTGTAAGCTTACAAGGTTCTTTGGGTAACTCTAATATTTTTATTAGACTAACACAAATAGTTGGAAAAACTCTTCTTTGCAAGCTGTGAAAGAACAGAAAAGCCTACGAATGTCACTTTATCAAACTACTGGATACAAAAAATCATGGACTAAATATAGACATTGGATTTATGATACATTTTAAACTGCCTAACATTGGACCCCCCACACAACACTCTACTATTTAGCAGCTATATTCATTCCCTCCCCCCGCTCCCCCCTGCACCTGTCTCTTACCCATTGACTACCTCAATTTACATTTTCACTGACTGGCTTTCTTACATGCATACTGGCTTCTGGCTTCTTTACTATTCCATCCAGGAAGAGGACGGATCAACTGCAGACGCTTTTTCAGCTTGATGAAGGGTATTGGTACCTGGAAGTTTCTAAAGAAGAATTTTTCCAACTATTTGAGTTGGTTTAATAAAAGATATCAAATTTACCCAAAGAATCTTGTCTGCCTATGTCCTTAGACCAAAACAGCTACAACCTATACCTGTGTAAGATTACTGCATTGTAAAATAATGTGCAGTAAGCTTTCCCTGGGAGCATGTGTACATGTATGCCTGTTGGGAGCAAATTTGCTCCTGAAGGGAGCAGTTCAGTGCAGGGCTACTCTTGCCCTGCTCTTCCCCCCACCCCTCAGCAGCCAGGGGGAGCTCTAGGCTCCCCTGGATGCCAGCCCTGAGCTGGCAGGGGGCACTGGGGTTAGGCCTTGGCTCTTGGGGGTGGGGGGGAGCTGTCCTGCCTCTACAGCAGCTGCCTCCTGGCCTCACAACCTGATCTGTTGGTTGGCGGGGGGAGGGGGGGCTGGGAGGCAGATGCCTAGGGGTGGGAGCAGTTCCCCCACTCCCTGCTGCCTGGGCTGACTCAAAGCTATTTGCTCCCTGTCAGCTGTCTACACATGTGCTACTGTGTGGGTAATCTAATACCTGTATCTATAGGTAGTAGACAACCACACAGTAGACTAATCTGCTATGCAGTAAATGTAGTGCATTTGTTGATGGTGATGCTTTACTGCACAGATTAGTCTACCATGCAGTAAGTTGTTTCAAGTAGATGTGCCCATTGGGTGTATTTAGTGCAACCTCTTTATACTATATATATATAATATATTCCTGGCACAAAAGGCATCCAGGAGTTCCCTTCTCAGAGAACTCCATTCAAATGTTAATGTTCACTTTCCAGGAAAGTACTTTGCTTCAAGAAAGGACTCTGGTAGTAATGATCAAGAAGATGCCTGCCACGAACTTTCTAAAAAAACGCCATTTCACAAGACCATAGCAGTTTCTTCTGAAAGTAAGTACTTGGACATTTGCCAAGAAAAAATAACATGTAAGGGTGAAGTTATACATTACACTTAACATTCCACAGATGTAGTATAGTCTAAGTGGTTTTAAAATTAAAATGTGCTGTGAGTAGTGTCACATTAGTGGTTAATACTGTAGGGTTAATGCTGTTTCTTGCATTTATAATTCTGACTTGACACTGAAGGGCTGGTGAGCAGAGGTGTGGCAAGGAGTCAGTACACCTGGGGCACTTATACAGGTATGTTTTAGTTCTTGGATGTGCTGGAGATCCACCGATTCAGAGCAGACTTGATTAATTGAGTCTACTCCACACGGGAGCTGATGTACACTGCACTGCCCTGCGTGCAGCTGTATAAATGGCGAAATGCATGTCAGTGCTGAGAAAATGGTGGCAGTGCACTGTGCTTTTAAACTAAAGCACCTCTGAGGTGTTTTAGTTCAAAAGTGCACTGCTCCCATTTTCTTTATGCTGATGCACATTTTGCTGCTTATACAGTTGCAAGTGTCACAGCTCTGGGAGGTTTTCATGCAGTGCTGGACATTTAAAAATGCCCCTGGGCTTTATTCCTGCTTTGACTTGGGGAATGGGGGGTTGAGAGGTGGAAGTGGTACATCCAGGGTTGCAGGAGGGCTGCACATTTGCTTCTTTTATCTCTGTGGAGCAGACTGAAGTTACCCTAACATGATTTGGGTAGCATGGCCAGAGCTAACACTTGTCTCAAGTGGCATAATTTTGAGATTTTCAGAGTGCACTTAGCACAAGTTAATGATATTTAATCGTAGAAAATTAGAGTTACAAGAGACCTCAGGAGCTCATCTCATCCAACTCCCTGATCAAAGCAGGATTATCCAAGCCAAAGCTTTGTCCAGCCAGGTCTTAAAAATTTCCAAGGACAGAGATTCCACCACCACTCTGGGTAACCTGTTTCAGTGTTTTACTACCCTCCTAGTGGGAAGATTCTTCATAATATCTAGCCTAAACTTCCCTTGCTGCAACTTGAGATGGTTGTTCCTTGTTCTGTCATTTGCTACCACTAAGAACAGTCTAGCTCCATCCTCTTTTGAACCCCCCTTCAGGTAGTTGAAGGCTGCTAACAAATCCCCTCTTATCTTCTCTCCTCTAGACTAAATAAGCCCAATTCTCTCAGCCTCTTCTCAGAAGTCATGTGCCCCAGCTGTCTCACCATTTTTTGTTGTCTTTTGCTGGACTGTCCCCAATTTGCCCACTTGCTTTCTGTAGCGGGGGTCCCAAAACTGAACACAGTACTTACTGAAGAGAGGGGAATAATCACTTCCCTTGATCTGCTGGCAACACTCCTGCCAATATAGCCTGGTATGCTGCTGGTAGCTTTCTTGGCAACAAGGGCACACTGTTGGCTTATATTCACCTTATTGTCCACTGTAACCCCCAGGTCCTTTTCTGCAGAGCTGTTGCCCAGCCAGTCAGCTCCCAGCCTGACTGATGCATGGGATTATTCTGTCCTAAATGCAGGACTTTGCACTTGTCCTTGTTGAACCTCATGGGATTCCTTTTGGCTTAATCTTCCAATTTGTCTAGGTCATTTTGAATCCTAGCCCTACCCTCCAGCATATTTACTACTCCTCCCAGCTTGTCATCTGCAAACTTGCTGTGGGTGCTCTCTGTCATCTTCCAGGTCATTGATGAAACCACTGAATAAAACAGGTCCTGGGACTGACCCCTGGGGCACTCCACTTGATAACAGCTGCCAACTAGACATTGATCCATTGGTTATTCCCCTCTGAGCCAGTTTTCTATCCACCATGCAGTCCATTCATCCATCCCGTACTTCCTTAGCTTGCCTGCGAGAATGTTGTGGGAGACTGTATGAAAAGCCTTGTTAAAATCAAGGTAGACCACATCCACTGGTTTCCCTGCACCCACATAGCCAGTCATCTCATGATAGAAGGCAATCAGGTTGGTCAGGCATGACTTGCCCTTGGTGAATCCATGCCATTTGTTCCTAATCATCTTCTTTTCCTCCAAGTTCACAGAAATGGATTCCTTGAGGATCTGTTCCATAATTTTTCCAGGGACTGAGGTGAGGCTGACTGGTCTGTAGTTCCCTGGATCCTCTTTTTCCCCTTTCTTAAATATGGGCACCATGTTTGCCCTTTTTCAGTCACCCAGGACCTCTCCTGAGAGCCATGAGTTTTCAAAGATGATGACCTATGGCTCTTCAATCACATCAAATAGTCCTTAACCTGTTCTTTTGCCACTGTTGAATGTTCACCTCCTCCCCAGACTGTGCTGCTAGGTACAGTAGTCTGGGATCTGACTTTGCCTTTGAAGATTGAGGTGAAAAAGGCATCAAGTACTTTAGCCTTTTTTTGTCACTAGGTTGCCTTCCCCATTCAGTTAGGGGCCCATGCAGTAATGTACAGACACTCATTTTTAAGTGACCTTAGTGTGGTTTAAGTGTAATGTATAACTTCACCCTAACACCGTACAAAAGTGCCCTCTGACCTCTTAGTATATCTTTAGCACTGCTCATTCTGTTGCCTGCTCTCTTAATCTCAGCAAAAGGCCTCAAACTAGATGTTGTGGAATGATCTTGGACATGTCTTAACTTCAGCAGGGTTAAATAAGATATTCTTTAGGGCCACATTTAACCTACTCTACTCAGCAAATCAAAAGCTTGGATGTAGCTCTTGCTTACCCCAGTGATTAACTGCCTCATTGTCAATGCAATATTTTCTCTATATAAGAATTAACTGAGCTTAATTTGTTTTTCAGACACTAATTCACAGATACCCATGGCAGGCTAAGAGGTTAAGAGACCCATCTAGAGGAGTGGAAAAAATTATGAACAAGTCCTTTGTCTTGACCCTTAGTGTACTATTTAGATTCTTTATTATAGCATTCATCTGGAACAAGGAACTGCAGCTTCTCTCCTGGATACGGTCAGGTAGTAATAGGCATTCAGAAGTCATGGGTGGATGGCATATGTGAACTGGAGCCAACTGAAAAGGATATCATAGTGGCAGAGAGAAAAATATCCCTTATTGCTGCCAGATTGATAAAATGGGGATTATATGGGATAATATCCTTTTCTCATATGGCTCTCAGGAAAAATGCAACTTAGAGGTAATCACCTGGCCTGATCAGCCATACGCCAAACTTCCTGCCCATTTAATTTATATTTTCAAAGCTTTTTTTAAACCAGATACAATGATCAGAGCTCAAACAATGGAGCAAACTAGAGCAAGAGAAAAGCTTCTGTCTGCGTAGAAACCTGAGGGAGGATGCAGACTGCTGATGTTCCCAGGAAACCTGATGTGCCAATAGTTTATCAACTTATTACTGTCCAAGAGTTATTTTAATTACTTCTCTGCTCTAGTGCACATTTCCCTTGTGCCTTTATATTTTTAATTATTATGGAAGAATTTGATGCTTCCCTAGCAATGAGGTTCCATATACTGTCATTCCTTTGAGGTGAGGGGCCAAGACTGGACAGACCAAGTGGAAGTCTGAAGGAGCAGTGCCTGTGACCACCATGGTATTGCCACCTTCACACACTCCCCAGCCCCTCAGTGGGTGTGTCTACATGTGCCCTTGACTGCGCAGTTGTTACTACGCAGTCATTTACTGCTTGTTTTAGTACTAGCAAGTACTAAATAACTGTGTAGTAACCACCATTATTGCACTGTCCTGGATGCTTATGGGTCATTTCTGACCCTACTGCACAGTAGCAATAAGCAGTAGTATTGGCATCACAGTTTGTGCCTGTCGATGCTATGTCACTGGAGCAAGAAGCTATGTCATAGTGTCTCCTGTAGATGCACCCAGTGTTGATAAGCCAACCTTATAAGACCACACGCTTTACTTAGCTGCTTCTGCTAGCTATAAACTTCCCCTGTAGCCTCAGCAGATGTAATCAGAACTTAATTATGAAAGAACTGTCCTGCCTTGGGGGTTTGGAGCAGGGGACAGGTAGACATGTAGGTCTTATGTGGATCTAGGGAGACTCTATGGAGCAGGAGGAATGAGTACCTTACCAGTTCCAGGAAGTGTATCCCTGTTTTTCCTGATGGAAAATAATTGGTGAGAGAACTCACTGATTTTTTTTCAGCCCTCTCATGAAATTTTCCTTATGTAGGGAATGATTTGGAACATTGTGAACATTATTTAGATGCATTACAGTTGTTGCTTTGGTCCATGTATTCACAATACCGCTTGTATTACAACCAATTTGCTGTTCCTAGCAAATCTATGAAGGGGATTCTCCCTTTAGATAATTTGCAGTATGTGAACTATATGTATGAATTCTCAGATGAACCCATTTTGCCTCTTTTTTTCACAGGGGACCTTCTGTGCTTGAGGCCTTTTTTTTTTTCTGCATATGGGACAAAAGAGGCCCAGGTGTTTCTATGGCAATGATCCTTCTTTCCCTTGTTTCTCCTTGATGAAAACTATGCACAAAAGTTAATGCAGACAGAGGCTGTATATTTCCTGCGCAGGCCCACAATATGGTCCTGGGGATAGGCACTGGTGGACTGTACACTCAAACTGGTGGATCATAGAAAGTTAGGGTTGGAAGGGACCTCAGAAGGTCATTCAGTCCAAGCCCCTGCTCAAAGCAGGACCATTCCCCAGCTGGATCATCCCAACTAAAGCTTTGTCTATCCGGGTCTTAAAAACCTCCAAGGATGGCGATTCCACCACCTCTCTGTATAACCCATTCCAGTATTTTACTGTCTTCCTAATGAGAAGATTCTTCTTAATATCTAACTTAAACTTCCATTGCTGCAACTTGAGACTGTTGCTTCTTGTTCTATCATCTGCCACCACTGAGAACAGTCTAGCTCCATCTTCTCTTAAACCCCCGTTCAAGTAGTTGAAGGCTGCTATTAAGTCCACGCTCATTCTCCTCTTTTCTATACTAAATAAGTCCCGTTCTCTTGGTCTTTCCCCATAAGTCATGTGCCCCAGCCCCCTCACCATTCTTGTTGTCCTCTGCTGGACTCTCTCCAATTTGTCCACATCCTTTCTGTAGTGGGGGGCCCAAAACTGGACACAGTACTCCAGATGTGGCCTCACCAGTGCTGAATAGAGGGGAAGAATCACTTCTCTTGACCTACTGGCAATACACCTACCAATGCAGCCCAGGATGCCATTAGCCTTCTTGGCAACAAGGACACACTGATGGCTCATATTTAGTTTATTGTCCACTGTAACCCCCAGGTCCTTTTTTGCAGAGCTGCTGCCCAGCTAGTCAGCCCCAGCTGTACTGGTGCATGGGATTGTTCCATCCTAAGTGCAGGACTTTGCACTTGTCCTTGTTGAACCTCACGGGATTTCTTTGGGCCCAATCCTCTAATTTGTCTAGGTCACTCTGACTCCTATCCCGACCCTCCACTGTATCTACTACTCCTCCCAGATTGGTGTCACCTGCAAACTTGCTGCGGGTGCACTCTATGCCATCTTCCAGGCCATTGATGAAGACATTGAACAAAACTGGCCCCGGGACTGACCACTGGGACACTCCACTTGATGCTAGCATTCAATTAGACATCAAGCCATTAATTACTGCTCTCTGAGCCTGATACTCCAGCCAGTTTTCTATCCATCTTACAGTCCATTTATCCAGCTAACACTTCCTTAGTATCTAGTATCTCTAAGCAAAGCCACAACTGAAACCATTGTGGAGGAACCAGGCCTATTTGGTGCATGCTTGGAGAATCAGGGAAGTCTAGTGGGATGTCAGGAGAACTATAGGGTTTGTGGACTAGAGTCACATTTCTTTCCATCAGGAATATAGCCCAAATCTTCCTTGGTAAGAGAGTCCCTTAGTCTTTATGCAGTTGTTCATATTTGGAGCAATGTGTATAAAGCTGACCTGTTTAAAAGGCTTCTTTTACATCTCTTTTTGTGCATCTTCAGCCTCCCTTTTTAAAGTTTGTTTTCTGCTTTGTTTCCCCCTCTGATTAATATCCCTGCTACTTAGATGTACCCGTTTTTAAGAACATGTGCTATTCTTCAACAAGGCCTCTTTCTTGTAGTCTGAACAAATAATTCCTAGGAATATTTTGAATTCAGATCTACCCTTTAATTTAGTTGAATAATGGTTGCATTTGACCAAAAATAAACTAGGCTATGATAAGCCAAAACTTTATATGCTTCACTGGATTTAATTGAGCTATGTTCTTCCTCTATGACTATTATTGAAACAGAGATCACATGAGACCTGTTTTTTCCTTGGTCTTTGTTCTTTATAAGGAATCACTAGGCACAAACAGCAATGAATAGGGTATTTACAAACTGGGGACAAGGTTCTCATACCTTTATTCGTACTAAATATTTATATTCCATGATTATCCCTATTTAAGTCAATGGGATTGCTTGGAGTACCATAGCGGTAAATTTCAATAAAGGTATCAGAACAGGGCCCAATGAGATTATTCAGGTAAGGTGCATGCATCTTGGAGAAAAAAAATAAATCACAAATCCCTGAAAGCAAGTACCTGAGGTCTTTTTCTGGCCCTGTATTAGATTATCTGTATGACCTGGGGATAATTACTTGGGTCCAAGTTTACAGACATGGCTTTTGATTTCTGTTGTATCAGTCTTTAGGTGCCTGCCTGCAAGAAGGGTTTATGGAATCAGGCTCTAATTCTTTAGGTGATAATTGGATAGAAGCCTAATGGAGACAAGAACCTCATTACTACCAGGTAGCCAACATATAAAGACAAAATAGATTTGAATTAAGTTAAGTAACATATTCTTTCACGCTGCATGAATGTAACAAGGCCAATGGCCTGATCACACATGACACTGAGCACCTCCAAAAAGCTGATGGATCTCCCCAGCTCTGCTGTCAGGTCTAACCTAGGAAAGCAATATTTTTTGTAGCAACATTTGCAGCAACCTTAAGAAACGTCAAACCTGAATGGTGAATTTGCTTTGGTTTTAGAGGATTCTGGGTTTAAAGGGAATTAAGAGGAGATTAAATGTTTTTGTTAATGGGTTGGTTGAACTTTGTCCCTTTTACTTCGGTGCCAAAGCAGTCAGCAAGACTTCCATTTTAACTTAAATAATGTACCTTGTGTTTAGCTTTCACTAGGTCAGATGTTAGTTTTATATGTAATTCAGTTCTATTGTTTCCTAATGTTAGCAAGTATACTTCTTTTATTAAGTTGTTTATTTTTATTGGAATATTAGCTGTTTGCAAGTCAAGCATTTTTGTATCCAGTTGTTCAGTGTAGACACAAGTGAGTACTCTGAGGTGGGGTGACTGGTACATAGGATTGTTCCATCTTAAGTGCAGGCCTTTGCACTTGTCTTTGTTGACCCTCATGAGATTCTTTTTGGTACAATCCTCCAATGTGACACTCTGAATCCTAGCCCTACTCTCCTCCATATCTACCCTACTCTCCTCCAGCTTGGTGTCATCTGCAAACTTGCTGAGGGTACACTCTGTGGCAACTCCCATGTCGTGTGGCAGTGCACCTTTGGATGCCTGCCACTTTAATGGCTGGAGCAGCCAGTTGGCAGACGCTTGATTAAGGTGGCCATTTTCAAACAAAGGCCAGCCAGATAGTCAACAGTAAGCAGCTTGTTGCTGCTTTGGCTACACTACCTGGCTGAGCAGCTGCTTGGAACACCTTGAAGGTAAGGACAGGAGCTATGGGGATAGAAGGATGCTTCTGGTTCTGGGTATGACCTGAAACTGCACCCTGCTGGGGTAGGAAGGCCTGGAGGGACTGCCTGTGGTGGGGCAGTATCATTCAAATGGTAGGACCACAAACCTCCCCAGTGAAAGGTGAGGAGAGCCTTAAAAACCCAGCTCCCACAACCACGTGGGTAGCCCTGTAGTAGGGCCCAAGAAGACAGACCCATATAAGAGAGACTGGGCTAGTTGCTGAGGAGCCTGACTTGAGGCACCCTCGACTAGTCAATGCTAGGGCCAGGACCAGAAGGGTCAAAAGGGCCAGAGCGCCCACCGTGAGGGATGCCTAGAGTCAGAGGCCCTGGGGTTCTGACTGGCCTAGAACCTGTGTGGCTAAAGGTCCCAGAGAGGAGGCCAGAGTGGGAGGGAGCTTGGCAGCCCAGAATGAGGATGGAGTAGGTCGCCTGATTAGGAGGGCTCTAGTTGCAGTCCAGACTAAAATGTTATGGGGCCCATTGTGGAGCCAGAACTGTTAAGACGTTTATGATGCCATCTGCAAGTCATGGGCCATGGTATAAGGAAGGTATGGAGCCATGGCTAGTGCCCCCCTCGCATCAGGGCATAGAATGGGCAGCCTGGCACATTTTAACACTAGTTATGGAAACAACAAAGTCATGGCAGGCAACACTAGGTGGACTGCCCTACGCAGACAGGTGGGTTTGGGGTCGGGCTTGAGACCCGGCCCCAAGCTTGCCCCCTGTCACATCCACTAGTTTCCCCTTATCCACAGAACCAATCAGGTTGGTCAGGTATGACTTGCCCTTGGTGAATCCATGCTGACTGTTCCTAATCACCTTCTTTACCTCCAAGTGGTTCAAGATGAATTTCTTGAGGATCTTCTCTATGATTTTTCCAGGGACTGAGAAGACCCTGACTGGTCTATCATTCCCTGGATCCTTCGCATTGGGATTTAATCCTCAAATAAAGCTCAGAGAGGGATTTGGAGAAAGAAAATGAAATGAGATCAACAGTTTATTAAAATATTTTATGCAGATTAATAACGTGCATTAAATGTGCACAGAGACACAGGTATATCACTGTTGTATTTGTCAAAGATAAACTATATTGCTGTCAAGCATCCATATAAAATCCATGTAGATGCACCTATATGCAAGCTAAACTTGAGTCTTGCCTTCTACATGAAGAATGCTCTCTCCAATTCTGTTGTGGTCTATCTTCTTAAGGAATAATGAATGCAGAGGCAAGAGACATAACAGGATCTCTTTAAGGAAACAGAAGGTAGTAGGCAAATAAGCTGGGGAATGGAGTCCAGGTGGTAATTGGATTGCTATCTTCTGCACAGGATAAAACCTAGTTGATTGTCATCTTCAGGGAGAAAAGGGATTCCAGGGAGAATAAGGAAACTTAAGGGCTTGCTGGTGAGTGGCTCAGGGGAAGAGTGGGGAGCTCTATCCCAAGACATTTTTCCTGCATCGCTGGTAGATGGCCAGAGGGCTTAAGCTTTCAGTTGCTGTTAGGAAAAATCAGAAAAAACCACCTCAGCAGAGACAGGATTAAGATCTTTGCATCAAAGGTTGTGCGCCAGTCAGGAAGCTAGAGGAGGCTACATTGCTAGCTCTTAGAAAGGGAATGGTATCATTAAATACTTCTATTAGAAAAATCTGGTAGGAAACTGAGAGGCAGGACCATGTTGTGCTGTGAGGGAGTGTGTTCTGGTACGGCACTGGGTTGTTAACTGAAAATGCCAATTAAATTCTTGCTACTTACGTGGCATGAAAAAAATGTCATTAATTTGGTGGAATACAAAAACACCCCTTCAACAAAATGAATGTTGTTTATTGGTCATGACATATCACGTTAATGGTGTCATTCCAGCTACAGATGTGATGCCCTTTTGTACATGTATAGAACAGTGGTTCTCAACCTTTGTAGACTCAAAGCACTCCTCATTAGACTGAAGACACCTCTTGGACAATGCCAGCTCCTAGTTTCACTTGATTTTCAACTGAGAAAAATAATGGAGCAATTCTTCTATTGCAAAGAACTCAGAAAGACCCCCAACAGGTCAGAATACTTTTAACATTCTGAATTTTTGAAGTCTCTTGATTTATCTTGTGAATCATGTTTGCATGCCAACATTGTCTGGCATTCTGCAACACCCTTAAAAGAATCTCACGGCACCCCAGGGTGTTGCAATACCTTGGTAGAGAAAAACTGGTACGGAGTGTCAATATAAGCAAAGTATTTATTATCTGTGACTGTATGGCCAAAAGCCTTTAGGGCTTCTTATACTTTTAAAGCTCAGCAATCTCATCCTCCATTGAATTCAATGGAATGAGAGTACTGTACTGGTCAGGACCCAACTCAGTTGTCACCCAAGATATAAGATTATGAAGCAGCTAGCCAGTGAAAAAATCTAAGCAAATCAATACCTAATGGTTTAGGGAAGTTATTTATACCTCATACATTCAGTTATTTTATGAACTTAAGATATAACTCTACTCCTCAGGGTCACTAAATTGGCCAGGACAGGACACCTATTACACACCTTGTCTGGAAGCAGACATGGAGCTGTTAATAGGCAATGAATTTGCCTTTGCAACACCATGGCTGCACTCTGAAGATTGGCCATATGCATCACCAAGTGCTGGTACTTCCAGAGTGGAAACATTAAGGGAATGGAGGCATTTAAAAGGGACATTTTCATCTAGGAGGTTTTTTGACTGCTGAATTTGAGCATGCTAAGGAGTGCTTGATGCAGCAGTAGAGACCCTCATGTGTGCAGGAGGAGAGGAAGGTTTGGTGACTGCAAGAACTGCTTAAAGCCCAAAGTTCTGAGTTGCAAGGAAGTACTGTTGGGCCAAGATTTTGCATGCAGGCTTGGGGATTTTTTTTGTTTTTGGTATGAAGGAATGTTTGAAGAAACACCGAGAATGTGGAGTTAACATTTTGCTCTTTCATGCAGAATACTTAGCGTCTTCATACACATAGAACTGATTTTTTTTTTTTTAAACAGGACAGCATGAATAGTGTTAGAGAATATATAATTACTGTTAATAGCGCTGCCATTGCTAATTGCTGTGCATATCATAGTTATCAAAGTGCACCACCTAGCGGTTTAATTTGATACAGTAAGATGCTACATTGCAATTAATTTCACTGCTTGTAGCTAAAACCTAATTACAGGCTAACTTCAGCTAGAAAATATGACTCCAGAAAGTCAAATGAAATCCCCAGGAAAGGACAGTGGGCCAAGCTTTGCTTTATTCTGTTGTCAGTCATTTACAAGCCTATTTGCCAAGTAGCAAAGCTGCAGGTTAGAGCTGGAAATAAGGTGGTAATACGCTATAGTGAAAACTAGTTATCAGTGCTCAGGTAGAAAACACCTGAGTGGGTTTTGGTTTGCTGCCTGTGTGGCAGGGATGGAAAATTCTCAAGTTAAGATCAGTTTGGATTCTTGTATGAATAAGCAGACTATCTTGAGCCAGCACAATTAAACAAGTTTGAAAAGAACAGACTCTCATGATCTGTTTTGCATTTTTCCTCCTTGTATTTCCTAGAAATACCCGCAGAACTGTTTGTTCTGAACCGTAAAATGCATTAAAGAAATTGAGAGAAACTCCCTTAGGACCTAAGAACCATCATAAAACTTACCACCTTCTAGTCCAAGTGCAAAGTGTAACACTTCATTCTGTCTTCCCACAGAAACACACAAAATTACCTGAGGGAAGATTCCCTACTAAAACAAAATGCTGGATTGTACACCAAATTGTCCCCTGGAAGAGAAGCTTAGAGTGGGAATGAACTGTATATGCAAGATGTTAGTCCTGTTGCTTAACACATGACTGAAGGGTGTTCAGTCAGATACACAGCGGTGAAGCTGATGTCAGAACTTCCATAGAAAATAATTCTCCCACTTGGAAATGCACGCACACATACAGAGGCAAAGACAGATGCTAGAATATTTCAGAACCTCAGACTAAATGTAGAGGCTTTAAGGATGTACTGTGGGTAGATAATCTTTCTAGGGACACATGTGCCTCAATTCCTATTCTTGCTGTGTGTTCACTTTCCTGACAAACTCTTATCAACTATTTGCCTTCAGGATCTTGCTGTGGTCTGTTAATCTCTGAACCCAGATGTTTGGGGGAATAGCCGCAGTTCTATTCCATCCCTACACTGTGGCCTAAGCCTCACAGATGGCATCCCAGGAAGCTAAACTAAGCCGTTCCCTTCGCCCATTAGCTGTGGTCCCCTCTCTGGGATCTTTGGCTCCCCAGTACACCCTGGCCCCATCTCAGGCCAGTTGGGACCCTGAGCTGCTTTGCTCTGTGAGCATCCCTCACTGTGGACCCCTGACCCTTTTGACCCCTCTCTGGATTCTGGCCCCAGCATGGACCAGTTGGGTACCTCGGGTCAGGTCTAAGCTGCTTGCCTCCCAGGTGTTCCTGGCAGAACTCAGTAGAGAGGTGTTTCTCCTCTGCTGGCTGATCATGAGCTGCCCTCAGCTCGGGGAACTGGGCCTTAAAATGGCCACCCTCATCAAGCATCTGCTCCTCCCTGGCCCAGTTCTTAAAGTGGTAGATGCTACCAGTGCCCTGCCACAATGTTCTTTTCACCTGTTCCTCTTTTCCTCTTCTGCTGTTTCAAAGTGTTGAGGTTCCTCCCAAAGAGCCTTTCTCTATTTTGGTCAGTACTGAGTAAGGTTCTCCCAAATGTTGATGTCTATGTTATACCTCTTCATATTTGCCTTCAAGGTGTCTTTCAAGTGCTTTATTTGCCCTCTGCTACTTCACTGACCTTCCTTCAGCTGTGAGAAAAAGATTCTGTTTAGAAGGCAGGAGTCAGGCATGCGAACAACATGATCTGTCCAGTGAAGTTGGTTTTGGATGATCCTCTGTTCCTCAATGCTGTTGGAATTTGCTTTGGCCAAGACACTGATGTTTGTGCATCTATCCTCCCAGATAATCCAAAAGATCTTGTGAAGGCACTGGTGGTGGTACTTTTCCAAGTTCTTAAGATGTCTTCTGTATGTGGTCCAAGTTTCTGAGCCATACAGCAGAGTTGGAATGACAATGGCTTGATGAAACAAGAGCTTCATTTCAGCAAGTATGTCATGATTTAAGAAGACTCTCTCTTACTCGGATGTCCAAAGGCTGCACTTTCACATTTCAAGCGGTGTTGTATTTCCACTTCAATGTCTGCCTTTGATGAAAGATGACTTCCAAGATAGGTGAAGTGATCCATGTTCTCCAGCAATTCTCCATTGATTTGAATGGGGGGGTGTTTCTCCATTTGGAGAAAGTTGGTAAAGGACTTGTGTTTTCCCGATGTTTAGAGTTAGGCCAGTACTCTAGTAGACTTCTGAGAATACATTAAAAATGGTTTGGAGGTCCATTTCAGATGAGCAATGACAGCATTGTCATCCACATACTGGAGTTCCATTATGGATGTTGTTGTGGTCTTTGTTTGGACTTGAGTCTGTTGAGGTTGAAGTCTTCCTTCCATCCTATACACAATTTCAAATTGAGGTGGGAGCTTTCTGTCAACAAGGTGCATTATGGTGGAGAAGAAGATGGAAAACAAAGTTGGAGCAGTGATGCAACCTTGCTTCATTCCAGTTTTCACCTCAAATGGTTCTGTTTGATTCCCGTTGCTGAGAACTCTTGCTGACATGTTGTCGTGGAGAAGTCTCAGAACACTGATGAACTTGTTTGGGCAGCCAATTTTGGACAGGATTTTCCACAGGGCTTTGCAGTTTACAAAATTGAAGGCTTTTGAGAGGTTGGTTTTTTTTTTTGCTCACAACACTTCTGGATTTGATGAGCTGTAAAGATCATGTCCGCAGTTCCTCAAGATGGTCTGAAACTGCTTTCTGGACAAATTTCTTCTGCAAGTGGGAGAAGGCGGTTAGCAGGGATATGGGCAATGACTTTCCCAGCAGTGGCCAACAAAGAGATGCCTCGGTATTTTCTGCTGGAGTCATCGGTGCAACTTGTCAGGAAGACTGGTGAGGCCAGGGTCACTTGACCAGGAGGGGGTGGGGCTGGGATGAAATATAAGTGAGGGCCTGAGCCAGAGCACTCAGTTTGGCCCAGGAGGCTGAAGGTGAAGGAGCACTGTTACAGGAATGCTAGTGGGGAAGCATGGCTGAAGGTAAGCTGAAAGGCTTGGTTGATGTTGAAGCCTTGGTAGCAGACAGAATAAGACGTCAGGCAAGAAAAGGTATGGTAGCGAGCTGGTAGGGTGAGAGTTTATTGTAGATGGAGGGCATATGCTTTTCATTAGAGTGAAATCTGGAGGACCAGAGACATTGGCCTCTGGGGAGAAGGAGGTCCTGATTCAGGGTGCTCAGGGACCTGGTGTTGGAGACAGATTCTTAATTATGCATATGAGGGTTGTTAATCCTCTAATCATCTCTCCAAGTGAAAGGGGATTGTCTCCTAATACCTCTAACCCAAACCTGCAGCCTGGCTTTGTCTAGCAAATGGACAGGTTTCTCTCACCAACTACGGTTTTGACAGCCATGGTTTTGAGTATCCACGCTTAATATTCTATATACCATTTTGGCTACCATAGTACACAGTTTTGAGTAACCACAGTTTTCCATGGCCATGCATCAGCCCAGCACCTGCCATTTTTCTGTCAGCCTTTTGTCTTGCCAACCACAGGAACTTTCAGAAACCTAATCCCAGCAGTTGGTGAGGGGAACCTGTAATCACAGACTTCAATCAGAATTGAACAACATAAAGATATGTTATTAACAACTAACAGGAACTGATAAACATAGTACTACACACACGCATGGAAACCTGTAATGAATGTATGTATGCAAGCAAGCTTAAAGAGAAAAAACAAATACCAACAAG